TGCCTGGCATGGGTGGCATCCCTCCCCCTCCGCCCCTCCTGCCTGGCATGGCAGGAGATCATATAGAAGCCGTGGTGGCCTCCCAGTTCAGCTGCCCTCTTGGCTCAGGAAGGCCTCCCCACAAGACAGTGAAGACGCCAACATTGAGAATGAAGAAGCTGAACTGGCAGAAGCTGCCTTCCAATGTGGTCAGAGGTGGGTGCTTCTGGCATGAAGTCACTGCTGCTTTAGGGATGACCCAGGGGAAAAAACACTATCATTGACTTTGCCAGATGTGGTTGACTCCATCTGGATACAGAACTTCCCTGATTTCCATTACATCTGACCTGGAGAGCTCCAATAAATAAAAGTAGCATGAAACTAATAATATAATATATAATCACTCTCACTAAATCAGTAGTTTGGAATAGCTTGTTTATAACTAAAATACTTTAAAATTAAAAGAAGGGGGAGGGATGGGAATATTTCCCTAATCCACCAAAACATGTTTTAGGCTTGAGTTCTCAACAGACTCCGATCTGGGTTCCACAGACTTTCATTCCCCAGTTCATCTATACTTGTATCTGGGTATGTTGAAGTCATGAGTAAGAGTGCAGGGAAGGATCCCATCACAGTCCAGGAAGGACACTGAAAGAATTGGAGAGCCGTGAGAATCATTGACTTGTCTCTTGATTTTTGGATTACATTACCCTCTCCTAGTGGAGCCAAAGAGGAGGAAGAAATATGAGAAGAAGCCAGGACAGGCAACGTCAGCTTTGTCCTAGACAAGCAAGGCATCCACTGCGTGGAGGTTAGCATAGGTGAAGTCTAAATAAGGTGCTTTTTTTTAGTCACAGGAACAGTTAATTGTTGGGATTATTTCAGTGGAGACTTCTACAGGCACATTTGGGTGATTTTTTTTTTTTTTTAAGAAATATTTTTAGGAAGGTCCAGTGGGAATTAATTCGAGCAGTTCTGTAGCCAGCATTATACAGGGAGGCTCCACTGCAAAGTGAAAAAGTGGAGGAAAGCTACAGTCAGAAATGTCCGGGTTGTGGCCAATCCCTCACCTAGCATACAAGGAAGCAAAAATAACATCACACATGGGACTAGAAAAGAAATGTCCGAGGTCCTTCTCATGCTGATACAGTTTGCCTACTGTGGAGGAGAATGCGTTTGTGTAGGGGAGGGATGGGGCTGTGTGACTTCTGTGTGCCCAGTGCTGCATCCCCTTACCAGCACATCTTGGGAGAAAGCTCTAGGTTTAATTACTCTTCAGGCCCTTTGGATCCTGCCTGTGGAACTTGCCCCCTCTCAATAATTAGCATCAGTCCAGGGCTAATACATCTCTTCTTATTTCATTCATGTTCTGCGGAGTGTCTCTTCTAGCAACTCGCATTGCCCCTAAAAGCAAGAGCTTTCAGCTGTCTCTGTAGCCAGCCTGAACACCTTCTCTTTTTTCAGAAAGTCACTCGATGTGGGCTTCAGTGAGCAGCAGCAGTGAGGAAACTATAGAGCCCAACTACACAAGCATAGAGCAGCTGTTCTGCTTTCCACAACCGACCCCCAAGGAGAAAACGGCCGCACCAGTGAAGGCAGAACCAAAAGAGGTGAGGAGATGCCTCTCATTCTTTCACATAAAGATCACTGCAGACAGCTCATCTAATACGAGATATCTTCTTTTTCTTTAATGAAGATCACATTTTTGGACTCCAAGAAAAGTCTCAATTTGAACATATTTTTGAAGCAATTTAAATGGTAAGATATGGCCAATTTTCGTGAAAGTTAAAAAGGCTTTGAGCAGGTTTATTATAGCTTCTGGAAGGTCCTCAGGAAGTCTGTTCTAGCCAATATGCTTTGGTGGTCTGTGTTACTGAAACATCTGAACATTTCCCAGCTTGTCCTATACTGTCTTTAAAATATTGGGTTTAGGGGTTTCATTGTATTTTTACCTCCAACATCCCTGTAAGTTTGAAAATGTGTTACATATACCTCCATGTTACAGATAAAGCTGTTGCACAAACTCTTAGTGTGACAGGCTGAGAGACGTCTCTGGAGGTCAACTGCTTCTCAAAACAGGGCCAATGGAGAAGTTGCTTTTTTCTTTAAGTTAATCAAATGCCCAAAGAGAGTCATTTGAGCTGCAGGATTGATCTCTGGCCTTGAGTCATTTGCCCAGGGCCAGAAACAAAATTTGGGGCATAGCAGGGATCCAGGTCCTGATTCTCGAGTTAATCACAGGAATGTATCTTTCCTTTTGGATTATTGCAGCTCTCACGAGGGAAAGCACAGAGCGCTTGCACAGCTACGTGGTCTGTAGCATGTGATTGTGGAAGAAGGGTCTCTGGGTGATGGCTAACTCTGCTGCTTCTCCTTGCAGCTCCAACGAAGAGGTGGCTGCCATGGTCCAGAACGGGGATCGGACCAAGTTTGACGTTGAGGTTCTGAAGCAGCTGCTGAAGCTGCTGCCTGAAAAGCATGAGGTCAGGATTTCAAATGGTACCCTTAGTTCACAGAGCTGAACACACAGTGCAGTCCTGCAGTCTTGATTCTTTATTTCTCATTAGATAGAAAACCTGAAGGCCTTCAAAGAAGAGAAATCAAAGCTTGCAAATGCAGATCAGTTTTATCTTCTCCTCCTTCAGATTCCCAGGTAAGGGTGTTGGTCTGTAACTTCAGACAATCTTTCTGGGTTTACCTCTGGGAAGTTTCTGTTTCTTAATATGAGCCTCACAGACAGATACTGATGGATGTAGCTGGTGGATCCCTCTTTCCACCGTAGAACCATCTCTTCCCTGTTACCCTTAAATGAAGGGCTGTTGCTGCTCCAGCACCTCTTCTCCCTCTGAAGTAGCAAAAGCTGGCCCAGACCCAGGGAGACCTGGCCAAGGAAGCCACGTACCGTACTGAAAGGCGGTGCCAAATGCAGTGCCAAAAGGGGGGAACCCCTGTCTCACACAGTGCTCAGTCTGCTCTTTGCTGATCACAGTGCATCGTAGAAACGACATCCCCACTGGTCCCCAAGGCGAGCGGCAGCCACTCGCCTCCCTCCACAAGCCACAGACATCTGTTTTGATGTGGATGGGGTTGACAGCGATGTTGTGGGGTTTCCAGACTTAGTGGTGATGTGGGAAGGGGGCTGCTGTGCTGGTCAAGATCCCAGTGCCTTTCAGCTTAGAATCAATCTGCATCCTTAGCTACCAGCTGCGCATCGAATGCATGCTGCTCTGTGAAGAGACCACCGTCGTGCTGGACATGATTCAGCCGAAAGCTGAAGCCATCCGGAGAGCCTGCGAAGGTAAATGATCTGGCCTTGTTTCTGGATCTTATTTATGATGGGAAGCTTTAAACCCCTCCCAAAACTCACCTTGAGCTCTGCCATGATACTACCCAGCTCCCCAAAAACTCCCCTGCCATCCATTCACTGGTTCACTGTGGAATACAGGATGCAGCTTTAGGTATGTCCACTGACAGTCAAAGCCTTTAATAGGACCAGAGATCATTTTCCCTCAGCCCTCTTTTTCTGCAGCAGATGTATTCTCCTGAAACACTTTCAACAGTGAAGCATTGGGAGCTCATCAGCCCTTTCAGAGGAGCTGAATTTAGACAGCAGAGCTGGCCCCGTTACAGCTAATTCATCCAACATTATTTGCCACGTTAAGACCTTCACACAGCAATTTTCTCTGCTGCCAGAAAAGCACACCCCAAACTTCCCCGGGAAAGTAGTGATGCTTTAGTTGTTCCCTGCCTACAAATGGAACCAGAAGAAAAAGTTTGTTATTTTGGGCTGTAAATGGCTGATGCTCCAATTCTGTGAGTACGTGGAGAGATTATGCCATAAGTTTTGGCTTCCTGTGGCAGAAACCTCAGGTCCCACTCCACTGAGAGCAGGATGCTCTTCTTGGCACTAAGTGCCGCGTGTCCTACAGAACTCGCTCCCCCAACTCCTGCCAGGGGTTTCTCCAGTGGACACTAGAGCTGCCTGATGGGATAAATCAAAACATCCCCCAAAAAGTGTCTTCCCAGCAGCCCAGTTGTCCTTTTGGAGCTGACCTGCCTCAAAGCTGAGTGCTTCAGAAGGCACACCACTGCAGCACCCTGTGTTTAAGAGCAAGGACAGGGACTGTACCCTTCATGCCCTGATAATCACCTCCACCATGCGAGACCAAGAACAGGGCGAGCGTGTCTGGTTTTAACAGCTGGCAGATAATCGCAGGGCTGTCAGAACCAGCTTCGCTGCACAGCTGAACGGAGTCTGCAAGATTAAAATTGCAGCTCGGTTATCCTCGCCCACACGAGGGTAAATCAGGGCACTTCCAAGGAAGGCAGCAAGTTGATGGCTGTTAGTGAGGAAGGTCCAACTCCAGGTTATTTTCCATTAGGAATGAGAGACCAGATGGAAAGAAAGAAAGAAAACGTTAACAAAAACTTCTACAATTCATGGAACTGGATCTATGTAGAATCAGTTTCTCTGCGGGTTGGGCCATTGGGCTGCAAACCTGAAAAATCAGATTTGGTTTGGTGAAATTCAGAATCTCAGTTTCAGTGCAGTTTAGGAAGTTTTCTGGTGTACCAGAGGCTTTGTTTAAAAGCCCTTTATGTTTTTCAGATCTTTTGAACAGTCATCGTCTGCCGCTCTTTTGTCAACTGATTCTCAAAGTTGGAAACTTTCTGAATTACGTAAGCACTTATTTTGTCTTGTCCTCCCCTGAGTCATTACAGCATGTGGATGATCTCCTTTAGGACTGTAATTTGGATGGACACAAGAATTACATCTGCTTTCTTTCTGTCTTGTAGGGAAGTCACACGGGTGATGCCGATGGGTTTAAAATCAGCACCTTGCTCAAACTAACAGAAACCAAAGCAAACCAAACCCGCATTACGCTGCTCCACCATATTCTGGAGGTACCACTGCCAAGTCCTGGGTGATAGGGAAGTGGGAGGATTTTATCATGGGCGAACATTTCTCCTACTCTACTTTCAGTTATTGTTCTGCTTTCCTTCAGCATCTTTCCCCACAATGACCGGAACTTCCTTTTTCATATTCGTGCAATCAGCTGCAAACCACAGAGTGCATGGCTACCAAAGCCATCTGGCTGGTCTGTAGCTATTCAGCCCTTCTGCCTTTCCATGGGCTCTCCCTTTTCCACCAGACTATGCATAAGCTTTTCATGCTCCCCTCCACCCCTCTGGCTTTCTTATTCTCTGCATTGCAGGGTTTTTTTTCTTTTTTCTCGTTGCTCTACTCTGCCACCTTCATTCATCCAGGTCCCTTCATTCCAGTCATGCATGTTCAAGCCCCACTTTAGCTAGCAGTAGCTCCAGCAACCACAGCCATGAAAGTCAGTCAGTCATGCAACTAAGATTCATGCCCTTTTGGTACCCTCCTGGGACCGTAGAACGTGTCAGACTGCATCAAGCCACAGTCCTGCCTCCTCCCCGTGGCCAAGAGTAGGTGTCTCAGAAGAGGGTAGAAGAGCTCAGCAGCAGGTCAGCTTTGCTTTGAGCTCTGACTGTTTCTCAACAGTCAGCCCTCTTGTACGTTTTTAAATCCTGGGAGCAATGCCTTCCCTCTCTGAACATGCCGTCCTGTTTTGAATGCAGCTTGGCTGTGTGAGGCAAAGCAAACTACAGAAGGGGAGCAGCAGCAGGATATGGCGCTGTCATCCTTCCCGAGCACTTCTGCCCGTGTCTTTTCCCCGCAGCTTCTCCTCTCAGTGACTGCCACACGGCGATTAACTCTTATTTCTTTCTTCTGCTTTAGGAAGTAGAAAACAGCCACACGGACCTGCTGGAACTGCCAAAGGATCTTGACTATGTTTCAAAAGCAGCAGGGTAAAATTGTGTGTCACTTCCTTTGAATTAAAAACAAAAATAAATCCCATACGCATCAACAGTGTATCAGAAATTAGGACACACACAGCTGGTATAGCACATTAACAAGATGGCATCTTATTTCGTTTTAACCGAAAGATTTGTTTGATGAATGTTGAAACTCCTTAATATGTAATAGTTCTATTACAGCTGGCAACACTTAGGGCTGAGATTTGCTGAGCATTCAGTTAATGCTGCCTCCCAGGCCCTTCCAAAATCTGCATTGCCTTTGTGGTAACAGGAGCTTCTGAAGGCCAGGTACCCAGAATCGTTTGTGAAGTACCTTCAACCAGGGGAAGTGAGATGATGCCGAGCTCTGAGCGTGGAGAACAGCCCTTTCAATGGGTGGACATTTCTGGGGGGCATTCATCTACTCAATGCACAGTTGTAGGTAGAGCTGGTAGCATTTTCATAAGCGCTGTGGAGGGTGGCTGCTTCCTATGAGCTCGGACTGTATGGAGAGTTCAGAGCTCAAGTTTCAGTTCAGTGAAGCGGTGGCCAACGGAGGGACAACCAGACCACAAGCTCAGACTTGTTCAGTCTTGGGTCAGCGCAAGATGCTGGAGTCTCAACTAATGGGGGGGGTTCTGTGTGATTTCAGGATTAATCTTGATATTATACGCACGGAGTCCAGCACCAATTTAAAGAAGTTGCTGGAGCTTCAGCGAAAGGTCTTATCGTCAAACGACAGTGTGAAACAGCAGTATGAGAAACCTATCCAGGTCAGTAATGGAGCTCCCTTGTATCTCCCCCGCTACACACACAGAGGCAGTGCATGGCACATACGCAGCTGAGGAGGCTTATGAGAGGGTGGAAAATATTGCTTCAGGACATGCTCTCAGATTTGGAAATAGGCTGTGACACCACACAACCCATCGGTGTTCATTTGCCACCTCCACCCCAAAGCTAGATACCCAAGGCCTCTGCCCCAGCTGCTGTCCCCGCTCTGCTGTGTGACTCCTCACTTTGAGTGAAGATGCCACCCTCTGGATCACCAGAGGAAACCCCGTCTCTTGGGATTAAGCTTTGCATTGAGCTTTCTGTGTCTTGCTCAAGCCACCCCTGTAAACTGGTGATAGCACAGTCACCAGGAGCAAAGATCATCCTCCCACCCCATAAGCTCTGCTGGAGGTACATGCCGGTGCTTCAGAGCCCTGCTCAAAGCTCTTAGGTTGTTTTTTGTTTAAGTGCACTTGGCTCACTGTCCTCTGGATGGTGTTTTACTGTGTCTATTAAATGCATTTCAGGATAGCATTGATGCCTCCAGAAAGCTGGAAGAAGAATTTGAAAACATTGAAAGGAAGAGAGAAGAACTTGCAAATTATCTTTGTGAAGACCCAAGCAAATTGTCCCTAGAGGACATATTCAGCACCATGAAGACCTTCAGAGACCTCTTCATCCGAGCCCTGAAGGTTGGCGTTGGTGCACATGACGCTGAGCATCCCTAGCACTGGTGCCTGCCTCTGCTCCGACAGATGGGGTGGGATGGGCAACCGAGTTTACTGGTGGGGAAGATGCTGGTTACAGCCCCATCCTTTCAGCTCTTGGCATGAGGTCACCTGGAGAAGGGGTGTCTGATCCCCACTGCACTGCATCCTCGTGTAGTGCTGGTGCCCCTGGCCTGGCCCAGACTGAGGATTTGGGATTTCAGCGCAGCCTTAGCTGCAGAATCACAAAGATGCTGTGGAGTCAAGTCTACAAGTTTTAGAGAAACGGGCTGATAAAACTTCAGCCTTCACTCCAGCCTCACGAAAAGGCTCAGAAAGGGGATGCATAGTAGAAAACCCACCACTCTGAAGGAAATTGTGGCTTCCGTACCTTCCACTTTTGCCTCAGCTAAAGGTCAGGCAGAAGGTCTGCACACTGGTAGGGAGCTGTGCTGGGCAGAGCACTGCTGCCACCTCCTACTGGGATGTGGCAGAGTCCTGGCTAAGCCAGTGGTGTCCCTGTCACCCTCTTGGCCAGACAGCCCTTCCTCCCCATACCCATTTTATTTATTGCACAGGATAAGGACAGAATTTCTCTTCCTCCTTTGCAACCATCTGCAGATCATCTTTCTCTTCATTGACTTTCCTAGCAGACATTTAGCCAATCTTCTTATGTCCCTGTTACCTCACTGCAGGAAAACAAGGACAGAAAGGAGCAAGCTGCCAAAGCAGAGAAGAGGAAGAAACAGCTGGAGGAGGAAGAGGGGAAGAGACAGAAGGGAGAAAATGGAAAAGTCAGTGAGTATCTGAAAGCGCTTCAAAAAAAAGAGATGTGGACTTGTGATCTCAAATTGTCTGGGACAGCTGACAGGAGCTCTTTTCTGGTCCTGCTTTAATGGATAGTGATAATTTATTTTGTGGGTTTCCAGGTGCTGGCTGACTAAAGGCTTTTATGTGTCTTACAGCCATAGCTAAGAACTAACTTTACACAGTTGCTGCTGGGCAGAGGAGTTAATTTTAGGTTTGCTGACTGAACAGCAGAAAAAAAAAGAATAAAATTGAAACATTTCAGTTAACTTTTTCAGTTTCTAAACATAACTTCTAAATCCCAAATCTAACAAGAAACATTTGACTTCTCCCCCTGGCAAAGTCCCCATGTAAGCTTGAGTAGTCTCTCTTTACCAGAGACCATTTATGTCCCAAAAGTCTTGCAGATAACTTAAATCTGCCTTTATCTGGATGGAAATAAAAGGCAGAACTGAAAAGTAAAATTGGCAGATGCTGAGAGGAAAAAAAATCAAGATAATTTTCTCTACATTACCCCCCTCCCCCGCAGTAAGAAAAAAAAAAAGACCCCCACCAATTCGGATGGCAAACAGGAGGTGTTGCAAGGTCTTGGTACAACCAGGCACAAGGATGGGCAGAGCTAGTGCCATTGGTGCCAGCCTCTAGCCCCCAGGCTTTTGGGTGGACCCTTTGGCTTCAGCCAGGACACGCTGGCGCAGGGCACAGAGCACGGGCTGCCCGCAGGTGGGCATCACTGCCTTGCTTTTGCCCAGTGGTTGCTTGTACCAGGAGAGCAGTACCTACCCCAAGCAATAGCATCACTGCAAAGTGTCCTCCTGCCCCATCTCACGGGCAGACTCAACACCCGTCTCTCTCTATCCCAGTTAAGAAAGGGGTGGTGAAGCAGGAGGAGGTGTGTGTCATCGACGCTCTGCTGGCCGACATAAGGAAAGGGTTCACGCTGAGAAAGACAAAGAACAGACACGAGCCGGATGCACTTCCTAAAACCTCACCTGCGGAGAGCCTGGAAGAGAGCCAGTCTGGTAAGGACACAGACCCAGCTGTACCTGCAGCTATTCATTCCCATCTGCCCCTCAGCCTGAGCCAAGCTCACACACAAGAAGCCTTCACATTTTTCATTTCAGGCATTTTATTTAAGGATGCTCTGCAGCTACTGCTGTGTGGAAGAGAAATAGAGAGCCCAGAGCTGTTGCCAGCCAGGTCTGCCCTGAAATGAGCAGCAGTTTGGTGCAGTATGGCCTTGCACCCGCACTGATAAACCCTCCGAGAAGCACGGCCCATGGGCCAGCCACAGAACCAGGCTGGTGGTGTCATCCCCAAACAAGTCCGTGCTGTCAAGTCCCAGTAGCACAGCTTGTCGCTGCCTTTGAGACTGCTGCTCCCTCTCTTAGTCTACATTTGGGAGTCTAAAGCAGCCCTTAAAAACAGATTAGAAAACTCTATCTGCAGAAGGACCCATATCCTTTAGGTGCTTTTTAGGTGACAGCCCATGGATTAAGCTTTTCTTTGGTCTCTTTACCTTGGTGTCAGTGCATATTAGATAAGTTGAAGGATGTTGGCCCACCACAGAGCGTGACTCGTGCACTCTGGCTCTCCTAACCCTGCTTTGCAAGGGCAGGATTAGGCTGGCTGATGGGCAGTTTTGGAGTCCTCATGCAGCAAGCCAGCAGTCCCACCTGGTTCAGGACCTTGAGGACGGGTTCCGTCTTCCTGCCATAGGCTTTCATGCACCCTTGCGAGTCCGAGGGCTTTCATGGAAATGAGCTGGTTGGCAGCAAAGACACATAAACTGAAAAACAGAGCAGGGCTTTGCTGAGCTGGAGCCTTGTAGTCCAACTGAGGTGACCACAGGGGGTATAAAGAGGGGAGGGATAGAGAGGATAAAGTGGTGCTGCCTCTGCATGGCTGCTTTAGGGCCAGTGCACCCTCCACAGGCAGCTGCTTGCTTGTAACCTCTCCAGTGGCAGAAACACCTTGGTTGATCCCAGATAAAGCTCTGCAGGTGTGGCTGATCACGTGTTTTCTGTTTAAAGGAAAGAGCATTAAGGATCCACAAGCAGCAGGAAAGCAGATTGGTAAGAGCAAACAAAACAACGATGGTCATCCCTCAGAAAGCACTCCCCCTGCAACCACTGCCCTGATGGAGATGGGTGGAGATGTTACCAATGCCTCAGCTTCAGACCAAACATTACCTAAAAACAATGCTGGAGGAAATTTGCCACCAGAGTCCCAGATGGAAAGCCCTTTGGTAAGCTTGGTGGAAGCGGACGGGGCCAGTCAGCCCATGCCGGGTGCCGGGATGGAGCAGGGAGACAGCTGGGCAAGCCCCCAGCTGAGCATGAAGAGTGGCTCCATTGCCTTCTCTGCTGATAACATAGGCACAGGAATAAGGTTTGTGAGCAGCAGTTCAGGCACTGCTCTGAGAGGCCAACTCAACGGGTCCATCTCAGAAGGCCAGGACAATGAACACCCAGTTGATGGTTCGGAGAGCTACAGGCTGCCACAGGAGCCAGAAACCCAGCCGAGCGAGACTGGAGTTGACCCTGGCAGTGCTCAGTCTGCTCCCTGCGATGAGGCTCATCATGCAGAGTCAAAAGAGATGGCGAAGGAAAATGAAGACCCTGGTACAGACTCACTGTTGGACACCTCTCAAGAGAAGTCCTTCTCAGAGGAGCCAGCCACTGACTCCTCTTGTTCAGCGACGCTCCCCCCGGGACAAACTCTCACTGACAGGGAAAAGCAGAGACCATCTGGGAAACGGAGGAAGAAGAAGAGGCACAGCAAAAGCTACTCAGGTAGCCTATTTTATATATAGCTCTCGGGGACTGACTGAAACTGGGGAGGCTTCCTCGTGTATTTGTATATATCTGTTCCTCCCCACTTCGAGGTCCAATGCCCCCTGCCCCTAGAGCCTCGCTGTTTCATGGAGCTGTTATTTTTTTTTAAACCTAAAAGAGATTTTGAAAGAAAAACACAAGCATTATTCATTCCCTTGACATTTATAAGTAGTTTATAAAGGGGTAATGATGAATCAATAATTTAAAAGCCCATTACACATATGCAGTAAAGATGGCAATAAGCACATCTGTCAAGTCTGCTAAAGACAGCTACAAGGCACGGTTATGTGCAAACAAGAGCCCCATTAGACTCCAGAGCAGTGATTAAGAGCAGTTAATACTGGGTACTTAATCAGCAATCACCCCCCTCTCAACTACTTATAAACACCTAAAACCAGCAACATCAGCGATGCCGTGGGGTGGTTTGGTTTTTCCTCTCCTAAGCCTCATCACAAGAGCCCTTTGCCTGCAGTGACTGGAAAAGCTGCCCTGCCCCAGGGGTACTTCAGGTGCCTCCTGAACATCAGGCCTTCGAGCCATCACTGCAGGGAGAGGGGAGGAAGCCAACAATTAAAAAGGAGCATCGTGCTGATGCTGGTGCAAAGAGTTGTGGCCAAATCGGTCCCTTGCGCTGGGCTGCCCCACTGGTGCCAGCAGAGGCGTGGAGCCGCCCAGGTCTCATGGTGAGCATCCGCAGCCGGTCCCAAACCTGGGAAGTGTGTCCAAGTCCCTCAGACTCTGCTGAGCTGAAGCCACCCTTGGGTGCATACATTAACACCGAACTAGAAGTGACTCATATGGAAGACACATGGGTCAGCCTTTAGAAAGTTGCAATATACTGTTGAAAGACTTTTCGGCAAGATCCTGGGGTGAATAAAATGGGCAGAAAAGTGGTGGAAGTCTGCCTTTATCAATGGTGTTTCATGTTTGTCCTTACAAGGAAGGTGGAGGAGTAAGGAAAGGAAAGGAATACCCACTGCTGAGAAAGATGGCATGCGTTGAGCATCTACCTCTTACCCTTATAATGCCAGCATGCCCTGGGGCTGTAGTTATTTATTTCTAAACATGCCACTTGCCCCTAGTGAAAAAACAAGCCACAAACCAGAAGTGGTTTCCCAGAGCAGTGGTTCCCAAACTTGCTTCCCAGGAGGCAGCAGGAGGAGCTGCAGCAAGGGGGGCACCCCATGCTCCCAGCTGTGGCAATGCTTTCCCAGTGTCTGAAATTATTTCTGGCTTAAGGAACTGACACCCTAAAAGCCGCAGGGCTCCCTGGGCATCCAGGCATGGAACCTTAGGAACCTCTCTGCTATTAGACAATGTTTTCATCATAAAAAGTTCCCTGTTGTTACCTTTGCCTTGCCATGATCAGATATACTTAGTGTCTCTCTTTTGTTTAAAAGCAGAGGTTGAGGCTGACACTGGAGATAATAAAACAAAAAAGGGTTGTGTGGTACAATGAGGTATGTAAACTCACAAAGGTGTTTCTGTGTGAACTAACCACAGCGTTGGGACTTTACAGACCTAATCAGTATTCAGCATATCAGCTAAGCTTTTTGTCTTTGTGTCTAATCACAAATACATGTAAATAAATCTGTTACTCTGATTTTTACTCTCCAGGGTGTTGATCTTGTGTTGAGCGAAGTCAGTGCTGATCTCCCCTCGACACAGTGTCAGAACCCACGTCTGTCCTCTGTGTCAGTAGCCAAACTGCCTTTCCCTGTGAATAATTAAAAGTCATTATTCTAACCAAGTGAATCCAGCTTCATGTGATAAACAAAGCCCTTGCTTTGATCCCATTATTTTCTTAAGAACTCTAACAATGCAATTTCAGTGCCTGCCTCCTGTGAAGAACAATGTTTGCTTTGCTTATGGGTAGCCACTTCCTATAGCACTGTTTAAATATAGGTATCTGGAAAAGAGAGTAAGGTATCTGGAAAAGAGAGTAAAACATTCAGCCTGGGCAGAAGTAGTAGCTGGGGCAAGATACCAGCTCCAACTCAAAGCCAAATTCAGTTCCAGAGTTGCGCACGAAGGAGTCCGTTGGAGCAAACAGACCGTGCACACCTCCTACGTGCATTCATGCAGCTTTCTGGGATGGGGGCAAGGAGGTGTCAGTTAGCTTTTGTCCCCCCCCAAAAAATAATACAGGTAAACCCAATTTCTAGCAAAACGGTATACCGTTTCCTGCATCCTTCATTGATGCTGGCAGCATACAGTTGCCCCTCAAAAGAAAACTTAAGTTAAGTTAAACCACGACAAGTTTCTTCAGGATGAGACTTCCATTTGCAAAAATCTACCTGTTTTTACACAAGTGGAAAGAAAAGCAAGAAAAAAAAGCTATTGAAACACCCACTGCACTGAAATTGCATAGTTATGTGTTGTCCTGTCCATGCTGATGAGCATCTCCTATGAACTGAATCAATAATGTCAAATCTCTCACTGTCTTATTTCTTGAAAGGAATGTATCTATTCTCCAGCATCCCCAGTGCCTGGGGCTGGGAGCCTTGCTCCCACACAGCCCAGCAGCCCTGGCCCCTTCCCGGCCTCTGGGGTGGCAGAAGATGAGTTTGTGCAGGATTTCCATACGGGGTTGCTTTTGTTCCGGTACCTGAAGCATCATTTCTTGCAAGAGAAAAGATTTAAATTAGGTAGTTACAATCCTGACTACTCCTGCCCTCTTCTTGGCCCTTTCCATGCCATACCACAGGTTTACATTAAGTGGAAAAAGGAAGTAGCTCTGTTGGTTTAAAAATCCTAAGAAAGATTTGCAGCAAGAACATAAAACAATATAAGTGAGGCACAGGTAAGAAATATGTCAGGGGCAGTGATCGAGCTGCACAGGGAGGGCAGCTGAAACCATGAGTTAAACATAACACAGATTATGTATGCTTTAAGCACAGGGATTCCAGCATGTCAACGTAAAAACAGTTGTATTTGAAAAAAAACAGAGACACAGGCAGCTTTGAATCCTCCTTAGAAGATGTAGGAAAGCAGCATAGAGGAATGCATGGGCAAACGGTACTTTTATGAAGTGACAGTCAAGCAGGGGTTTCAGTGCATCCCTGAAACGCAGCTCCTGGCACAGCCGCATCGCACTGGCAGTGCCCAGCCGTGCTTTGGTGCTGGGAGGGCAGAGACAAGCTGCACTTGAAACCTGCAGTTCCCTTTTTCCTCTCCTTGCATCTTGATGTCACTTGGAAACGTTAGAGGAAACAAAAATCCCTTTGCTCCTCTCAATGTCCAGCCGCAGCTCTCCTTCACTCAAACGCAGCTCAGGTCCGTCTCTCTTGATATGACAGACTCAGCAAGCCTACAGTGCTCCCCATCAATGTTTTTTCCTAGGTTGTACCACCTCTCTTTTACTTTTTTTTTTTTTTTAAATTTATTTATTGTCCCAAGTGCACACGGTCTGTTCAGGTCATAGCACCAATTCTCTTTTGATACAGAATAATTATCTGGTGGATTTGCTGGATCTCAGTGAAGCCACAGGAATCTTCTTTCTTGTGCAGATCCAGCTGCAGGGATCAAGACGTGATCCCCTTATCAGTTTTTAGAGCTTCTGTACAACCTCAGAGTAAGGGTAGGAACAGCCTGTGACTCTGAAACAGTATTTCAGAGCAGCAAGACTGAGATCATCTACTGAGCTCTTGCCTCACCTTGACTATACCTTGTGAGGCAGCAATTTCTGTATTAATGTTCTTTAAATGTCAGCTTTTACACCTGAAGAGTCACCTCCCACATTGTCTCCATGTTGCAGAAAATAATGGTTTAGCTGGTTTTCCTGTGGTTGAAGGCACTGATGGTCACACTGTGTTTGTGTGTGCCCCGATAACATCTGAACTCGTTCCCAACCAGATCTGAAAAGAGCTTGAAGAAGGACTGTTTGACAAAAGCTGATGGAGGAGGGACTGTACAAATGCCTGAACTCAGGGGAGGTGCTGTTTGAGTTCCCTTGCCTTAGACCCTGGAGAATTGCTGTGGTCAAATGTTCACATCTGTTTGGCTGCTCCCTTTTTCCTCTCCTCCCATCTTTGCACCACTGGAAAAGGTTAGGGGAAACACAAGTCTTGAAAGCACAAGCCTGTAAGCAACTAGGCTTTGGCAACTTCCCTGCTCACAAATCTATGTGATTTATTCCCTAGAAAATACAAGAACAGACCAAACCGGGAGCGTAGGTCAGTGCTGGAAGACTGCAGCCTGGTGAGGGGGGAGGGAAGGGGCAGGAGAGGGAAGCAGCGCTGCCTGCCAGCACCTACGGCATGGACATGGCACAGTGGGGCATCAGCCTCTCCCTGCAAAGGGGCAGCAGGGTTTGAGAGTCAAGGGGGTTTCCTTCCTTTTTTTTTTTTTTTTTTAATTGTTTTACTTTAATTCTAGAGGACCAGATGCTTCACCTCCCCTTCTGCAGACTCTGTTTTGTCTGTGGGCAGTTTTCTAATGGACCACGAGCATGTACTCAAGCTAATGCTCGTCTTCCTATATGGCCTTAGCCTTCATGTCCATCATTAGAAATGGTATTCGCTTTGGCTGTGGAGTGAGACAGGCTCTTAAAAATCACAGTGTGCTGCCCCATTTTTCTGACAGTCCCGCTAGATTTGGTAAGTTCAGCTAGTTAATATCCAGAAGCATATTCCAATATTCTGCTTGGGAAATGCAAGACTCGCGTTGTTGGACTGAACTGGCACCCAGCTTAAAAGCAAGGTTGTCCAAATTCTAAAACATCAGGATCAGTTCTGGAAAAATGAGCTTTCTATAAAGCACATAAAGATTCAGCTCTACCTGGATTTAGGTTATTTGAGGAATATAAAAATGTTTCCCCTAGTAGCACCCTGACCATTAGATGCAAAGACCGCACCGCTTTCGTTTTATAGCTGCAAACAGTTTGCATTTCCCCCTCCTCCTGCAGGTGTCACGGCAAGGCAGAAGAAGTAACGGAGACCCAGCGAACCGCTTGTGCATCCCCGGAGCAATGCCAGCCTCTCAGAAGCAGAGTCCTGCATCGCTAAAAAACCACCGTGGTCACCTCTGCCCCACCACGACGCACCGCTTCTCCTCACGCAGCCTTTCGCTCCGCTCCTCAAGACCCAAAGAGCTACCCCAGAGACGTCGGCACCCTCGGCCCGTGCCTTACGCCTGCAGGGTCGGGGCCAGTTCTGCGCGTGGCAACGTGAAAGGGTCAGACATCTCACCCGCTGTCCTCAAAGCCAGGTCTTTCAAGCTGCAGTTAGGCCAAACTCCTTCAAATGACAGCTGAGTGTGGCCCAAGGAAGGACTGCAGCATTTAGCCCTCAGAGAAATTTTAAAAATAGCAGTGCCTGAACTAAATTAAGGGTATAAATTAAGCAGTGGCTGTACCATCACTGGTGGAAGAGTGTTACTCCCTCTTCTCATTGCCCATTGATGATTTATATTGGACCAGGTCCAAGACTCAGATCAGACAAATGTATTTTTACTCTCAATCATTTAAAGCAAGGGAAATCAGTTATGGGGTGAAAAAAGTTTAAAAATAAAAAGTATGTATTTTAGTAAACATATGGCCATATAAACAGTGTCTGGTTCCTACATGACGCTTACGTGCAATTAATTTGAAGCTCATCAGTAGGCTTGCAGTAGTCCTCTACAGAGGACTACACAGATGTGTCCATCAACTTTTGGAGAACCAGGGCCCTAGATCCTGTTATTAAAGCAACAGAAAGAGGTTTTCCAGAGCACTCTATTGGACACATTTTCAGTTCATCCTTTAGCAAATCTCTGGGTTTGGATGCCATTGTCAGCTGCTTGCACTCAAAAGTCATTGTGTTCAAGCTGCAGAAAGTGTAGGTTCATGTTACGTTTTCTTTAAAACTGGGAATGTGCAGTACTGTGGTTTAAAAATTCAGAGCTTTATTTCTCACGTTTTGTAATAACATTGTATCATAGTTTTGTACATAGCTGTCCATTTAAAATGATCTGTGTTTGTTGAATCTATGGTGTGATACCGTGCTGAGACATGAATCAAGTGGAAGAAGTACTATGCCTTTATATGGTAACTCACTGTGGCTAGACTAATGTTCAGGCTAAAGCTTATTTTGCTTTGCTTAATAAGACTTGTAACATCCTTGTGATACTGAAGACTTTGCTGGACTAAGTTAGAAGTTAAACCAAGAATTAAATCACTGGTTTATTCTAACCAAAGCATTGCTATGACCATACTGAGAATCGATAAACAAAAGCAAGGATTAGCTGAGAGCAGACGCCTAGGCAGCTTCAGTGCAGGAGACCGCGCAGAGTGGCACAGCCCCATTGCAGCTGAAATCCTGTTCCTGTTCATCCAAAGCATCAGTCCTTTCGTTCCTTACTGCAGCTTCTCTGCTCTCAGATTAGGCCCCAGGCTACAAAAACCTGAGTATCAAACGTGCTTGCAACCTCCCTGTTTCTGGCATGAGCCTGCAGCCCAGGCTAGCGGTGAGCAGCCAGCCT